TTCCGTGTACTGCTACGTCTGGAGTTGTTGGAAACCCAGGAACAAGCCCTACGCCGAGCTGCTCAAGCTGAAATTGATGAGGAAGTAGAGAACGGACCGGGACAGGCCGTTGGAGTAGAAGAAGATGAGGATTTGGAAGGCTTTCCTTCGACGGAACCCTCCAGAACCCTCTCAACGCCGTCAAAGACGAAGAGGAAGAGCTATGATCCGGAGAAGGACATAGCGAAGGAGAGGACCCTCCTTGTGTCCAAAATCATGGAAGGACTTCGTGGAGATGCATTCCTTGTGGCCCAAGATCTTGGTGTTGCGGCTTTGATTGCCGACAACGGAATCAGGACATTGATCCACAAGTTGAAGGAGAGTGTGTTCCCGAGAGCAAGTGAGGAGGCTCGTGAATTGAGAGGAGGCATGCTTGCCCGTCAAGTCTCAGAAAGTATGGTTAGCTATGTAGACCGTCGTAGACGCTGGTGGCGTATGATTTCCGAGATGGATGGAACCACCCAACTCAGTGAACCAATGAGATGTGAATTGATGATTGAGTTGTCGGGAATCACCCAGCAGGAAGCGTTGGTCGTAAAAGCCATAGCTGGCACCCCCGGCAAGACCCTCATCGAACATTACGGATCCGTGCAGTTGAGGGGAGGCAGATCACTGACCTCGGGACCCAGTGCACAGTCCAAGGGAATCACCAAAGGGAAGGGCAAGGGTAAGCCGACATGGAAGTCTGGTTACTTTGTGGATGCCCATGAATCGAATGACTGGTATGATGGGGTTGGTTCTTATGGTTATGATTCCCACTATGAGAGCTATGCCCCAGAAATGAATGTGGGACTGCTCGGAATGGTAGATCCCGTGGAAGAAGATGAACCCCAGGAAGAGTACGAAGAACATGAAGAGATTGAAGAATGGGAAGCCACCTGTTTGAATGCTGTAAGCGAGCTAGGAGAAGACCTATCAGATTATGATGTCTCCGTGATTGGTGATGCCTTGCAACACGAATTGGCAGCTTTGGCAGCCTTTGGGAAGGCCAAAGGAAAGGGTAAGTCCAAGGCGAAGGGCAAAGGAAAAGGAAAAGGGAAAGGGAAATTGGTCAAGAGCAATTTGACGCTCGAGCAACGTAGAGCCAAGCTGAGTGAGATTAAGGCTCGCAGCAAGTGTATGAGATGTGGAGCCACGGGACACTGGGCAGGTGATCCAGCGTGCAAGTTCCCGAATCGACCACAGACGTCCCAACCTAGAGCTGCGATGCTGGCTTGTATGTCGGATTCCTCGTCAGATGATGGTGACTGCGTGATCCTGACTCCAGGACACAGCAGTACACCGGTAGCCATGATGGGGTATTCGGTAGTGAGAGGTAGACCCAAAGGTACCCCCAAACCAACTGCCAAACCCTCCAGTGCCATTGCTCGACCATAACAGGGACCAGTTTCCATGGAGCCGTTGCCCAAGCCTAAGTCGAAGAGTGCTGCCAGGAAGACACCCCCAAATCCTCCAATCACGAGGTGCACCAATTGTGTTGACTTTACCTTTAAGGGGAGTACTGCATATGCAGAGACTGTGGACATGTCACTGTGACCCGAAGGGAAGAAAACTACCAGTATGCTTTTGAGAATTGTCCACACACGGATGTTGATCACCGTGGGAGTTCCAAGACAGCATTCCGCACGTTCTTCAAACAATGTGGTTGTTTCATCAATGAAATGCCGATTGCCGAACATCAACATGGGTTGAGAATACTGATCCCCAAACGTTGCAAGTGGTGACCAATCTTACCGGTGATGGTGCCAATGATCGCATGTCGAGCGCCGAAGTCCAAGCAGTGTTGGCTGTTCTCACACAGAGTTTGTTGGACTCAGGCCCCAAGTCGCCAGCTGACCTACATCGGGAGCTGGACGACGCGATCATTGAAGTTATGACGGAACAGGACCCTGATGCATTTCCGCCGGATTCAGATGAACCGGATTGGGCGCCAGTGGATGAAGGGGCGCCACTGTCGTTGGCTGATTTGTCAGGACCCAGAGGTTTCATGGCTGCGCGGTCAGACCCTGACACAGGTGATGCTACGTTGGATCTACCCATCGTTGATGTCATGAGCATGGATGACCCAGACATTTTTGCAGCACTTGACGAAGGTTGCAATTCCACACGCCATAGCCAACAATGGGCTGAGATGTGTGATACCAAACTTAGGAAGTATGGTGTTGCGTTCAAGTGGGTGAACCATGAGGTCACTTCTTTCGTTGGCATTGGTTCCAAAACTGGGACATGTGGCAGCAGAAGCATGCCGATCGCTCTTGAAGCCACAGATGGCTCAGTCATTAAGGGGAAACTTGAGAGTTATGAAATTCAAGGCAAGACATCGACCCCTTTGCTGTTGTCATTGTATGCTCAGGTAACACTAGGCATGATCAAGGACCTATCAGCAGGCAAAATCTATGTAACGGTGAATAGTACTCAGCGTGAACTGCCATTGGCAAAGTGCAGCAAAACAGGATTACTCCTTCTAAATCTCACGGCTGGCATCAGGAAAGAAGTTGGCAAACTAGGCCATGATCAATCCCCAGAAGACACCCTGAAATTTCTCCGACCATTCCGTCGACCAGTTCGAACAGCCTGCGCCGGTGCTCTTGGAGAAGCCATGGACAGGAGCCACGCGGTGTTCAGGCTGATGGGGAGCACCGATGCACATGTGAGCCTGGAAGGGCATCACGACAAGGTGTCAGTACTGACTGGTGGCGAGGCTACTCAGCTCGCACCCCGTGAATGTGATGGGAAGGTCATGTTGCCCATCGATGTTCGCGGCTTCCATGACCCGGATGGGGGCGCATATCGAACACACGCCCCGATCTGTTGGAGCGAGTGCTGTCGGAGGGCATGACTCACGTGCAGACCTACGAAGAAAATGCTGCGGTTCTATACCGATGCAGAAGCAACAGACATCGCAGCGTAGCGGTAGGCAGCATCTTTAGTGTCTTGATGATGTTGACAAGCCGTCGATTTCACCTCGCCCACCTCGAAGCACACCGGGCCTGGAACGGAATGAGGTGCGGCGGTAGGTGCCGCCTATGTCGGTATGAAAACCGGCAAGATATCGAGAAGATCATCGGCATCTGTTGGAACATCTTCAAGAATCTTGGAGTTCCTGAAGAACGACTCGAAGCTCCATGGGCAGATGAGGGCCCGATTGCAAGGGGCAGTTTGGGAGTAGCGCGATCCAAACAGGACGTGCGAGACAATCGCGCGACGAGTTTGGCAACGAGCACGGCAAAGGCGCCGTTGCCACCGCCCCCAAAGGCTCCACCTGTGCGTGATTCCTCAGGGACTACAACGGCAACCTCGGTGATGTCAGCAGCTGTGGCCGGAAGGACCACGGGAAACATGGCGAGATCTGCAGTGAGGACACATGGACTCAATCCGAACCCAGGAGGAGCGGCATCTGGCAGCAGTGATCGCCCTGCATGGAGCGTCAGAGCCAATGACGGATTCTGCGGCCATGACCATGGCTCAGATGGCGAGAACTATGGAGAGCATGCAGTCGAGGATTGAAGAGCTGCTGGATGACCGTGATCGAGAGAGAGGTCATCGAAGGAGGAGCCCGTCCAGAAGGAGGACTCGATCGCCAAGGGGGAGACGTGGAGATTCAAGGAGGCGAAGTCGGAGCCCATCGAGGAGACGTGGGAGACACGATTCCCGAAGCCGTGCACGACGTCCGAGAAGACCGAGATCTCAGGAGAGAAGGACTTCGAGGGCGCCGCAGCCGCGGACACCGGAAATCCCACCGCCTCGAAATCCGCCTCGAAATCCGCCACCGTTGGCTCCGAGTGCTCTCCACATCCCGCCGATCGACAATGATGTTGGCGTGTTTATGGGAGACCAGCCGATGGGCCAGATCTCCATGGAGCAGTGGGGGCTTAGACCTCATGATGCCTTCAGGAAGTGGGACACGGGTGTGGCCTATTCTAGGAGGATGCAACCCAGTGAAATCTCGGTCGACTCCCTAAATGCCCTTCTCGTAGCGTCGTCCAACCATGATCGAATGACATGGATAGGGCCAGGTGACCGCCGCCGCAATTATGAGTACAATGTGAGGGTGAGTATACCAAGGTCCGAGGCGTGATGACGTCGACCTTCACGAGGCGTCCTAGAGCTTTGGATGACTGGGTGCGAACTACCTGGGCACATCGAAACGGATGCTGGACGTTGTGGGAGCGTGAAGTTGCTTCCTCAACCGGGATGAGGGTCAATCAGACCCCGGACTTGAAGATGGTGATCTTGCTCCAGCCGCCGCGTGATTACATGTCGCAGCTGCCGACTCCCCCCAAACCACCAAGACCACCAAGACTTTTGGGAAAACCCCCAAAACGGGATGGAAAATCAGTGAGGATAGAACCGGTTGCATCACCACCAAGGGATCAAAGGAATGACGATTTGAGTTCTATTGGGAGTGCAAGTGACACGAGTGAGATGAGCGTTGTTCCCAACAAATCCCGTCGGGTCAAGAGTGAACCCCGTGATGCACCGCCCCAGCATGAGCATATCACCAATGTTGCCATTCTCCGTACCGGTTATGTGGCTGACTCCTCTAGTTCACCCTCACAGGATGATCCCAGTGGTTTGGTGTTACATGTTGATGATGACGGTTCGGTTGAAAAGCATGTGACCATGTCAAGAAAACGAAGAAGGAATTTGAGACCAACATCGACAATGTGAACTTTCATGATGAGTTGCTTCGAGGAATGTTGGGACTTAGAGAGTACCCAGAGTCTCTAATCCCCCGCATCATGGTGTTCACCTCACGTCCCCTTTTGGCCGTGCGCCCAAACGTCAGGACAATGGACGTCGGCTGGAATGGAGAGTACCTGCCGGCGATGCAGGGCACGCCAGATCTGTGAGACATATTTCAATTAGTTGATTTCTTCGTTTTCATTGTTGGGTATGAGTCACCAGATTACCCGTTGATGCATGGTGAGTTGTTGACGGAAGTACAGACTTTCTGCGAGGTTTCTGGAGCACGTTGGATGAATGTGGATGCATTGGACACCACAAGGTGGAATCACTATGCAGAGCAAGATCCCCCATTCATCTGTTCCCAAAAAATTGGCGTGACTACCAATGATGATGAAATCATGGTGAGAATGACTGTTTGGTGTGATCAGGCCAGCACGTCCTATGATGAAGATGACCCCGGGATGCCTCTTGATGAAGTGTTCACCGCATCGTTCAACGAACTCATCATTGGTTTAGGCAATGAGTTTCACGTGGATTCCATGACTCGAGTTGCGTTCCCCGCTGCACTGCAGGAAGAACAAGCCGAGCGTGTTCAAGTGGATTCTGATGAACCACCTCTTCCAGAGGTCGACCGTGAGGCGCTGGCTGAAGAATTGGTAAGTCATGAGACATTGTTGGACACAGTTGATGTGCCGGGCTTGCCCCAAAAGGAGGCTGAGCGTAGGGCAGCGTGGAGGAAACTACCCCAAAGAGTCAGGATTGCCATTCGACGTCTGCGCCGACAGTTCGGACATTGTCCGAGAAATGTACTGGTCAGCTTGCTGCGAGCGGCCAGGGTAGAGAAGCAATACGTCGAAGCAGTCAAGTTGCATCGATGTACTATTTGTGAAGACAATGCCCCAAAAGGGAAGCCCCACAAAACATCGTTGCCGTATGAGTATCGTTTTGGAGCTTGTTTAGGAATTGATCTGTTGGGAATCAAGGACAGTACCGGTGCAGTGTACACATGCCTGAACATGGTTGACATGGGAACCACATTCCAGCAGCTGCATGTGACCCGGAAAGGACACAATGCGACGAGTGCACAGGTCATCAAAACCCTGAGTGATCGATGGTTTTCATGGTCAGGATTCCCCAAACAGATCGTCTGCGATAGAGGCCTACACTTTAGAGGTGAGTTGCCAAGTTTTTGTGGTAGACATGGAATCCAAATGAGAAACGCTCCCCCCGAGACCCCTGAAGCACTAGGAAGAGTAGAGCGACATGGAGGGATAGCAAAGGCCACGATGAAGAAAATGTGTGCAGAGGTCCAACCATACAACATCGAACAGATGCAGCGTTGTGCAAACGAGATTTGTTTGGTCAAGAATTCCACAGCCCGTGTTGGAGGATTTAGTCCAAGCCAATGGGTGCTGGGCCAGAACCCGAGAGGAACCCCAACCTTTATGAATGAAGAAGCGCTTGCCGATTTGGGAGCTGTGGGTGATGCTGCAGATCCCGAGAGCATGTTCATGATCCAACATGAAGCCAGAGCCGCTGCGAAGCGAGCTTTCGTGTACCTAGACACCAACAAAAGGATTGCCCGAGCGATGTTGAAGAATGCTGCGCCCATTAAGATGGTTTATCAAGTTGGTGATGTAGTAAGCTTCAGAAAAGACAACAACACCGGCGGAAAGACAAAATGGAGTGTAGCCTCGAGAGTGATTGGGCATGAAGGAGAGAGAGACATTTGGGTGTTATGCGAAAACACCCCGGTGCTCGTTTCCGCACACAACCTTCGACCAGCGAACGACGCCGAAGCTTTGGCGCATTCGATCTTGCAAGGACAACCAATCGTGCCAGATGAAGTGATTGGTGAATCCCAGAGATTTGTTGATGCAAGATCAAGAGAAGAACAAGAACAAACCCCCGAAGTTGAGAACCCCGAACAGCTCGTTGAAGTTCCATTCCCTGAGAGGATGGAAGTGATTGAAGAAGGAGAAGAGGTAGGCGAAGAAGAAGAATCACGAGCTGAGTCAAGCAACAGAAGAATGCCAATCCGAAGAGAGAACCCCACAAGAAGAGTTCGACAGCGGACGGAAGGAGAAATGTCGACCGCCAGTGGTGGCGCGAGCACAGTTAGTGCTGAAATTCCGGCATCAGCCGACTCCATGGCAGCCCCTGGGCAGCCGTCAGCGTGGCCAAACCCACGCGATTCGCTGAACGATTTGCCTGAACCACTGAGGAGACACTTTGAGACTCAGAGAAACCAGGCGAATCAGGCGAACAGAGGAATCGTAGGAATGGCGACGGAGAACGCTTCGACGCCGATGGGACCAAGATCTCGATTTGTAGCATTCATGACAGCCAGGTTCGAGGAAGGAACTCGTGAGCAAGAAGCCGAACCAGAGAAGGCTGCTGAGAAGACTTTGCACTTCGAGAGTGAGACCCCGAAGATGCGGGCGTTCGTTGAGGCAAGAGGAAAAGAGTGGGCCAAGTATATCAAGTACAGTGCCGCAGTCCCTTTACCACCAGGAGAAGGGGAGGCCTTGATTGAACAGGGACACACTGTGATCCCGTCCAAATGGGTGGACGTGGATAAGTCGTACTACGCTCAGCATCGTGACGACTATGTCCCAAAGATCAAGTCAAGGTTGGTCAGTTGTGGCAACGTTGAAGTCCAAGATGGATTGCGCACAGACGCGCCCACGTCTGATGCAGAGACCCATCACTTGATTGCTGCCTTTGCGGCCTGCTATCGGGTAGAGTGCCATTCTGCTGACATCACGTCAGCGTACTTCCAGGCGGATGCACTCGATTGAGTCATCGTCATGAGGATGCCACGTGGAGGACTCCCAGGACTGGATGATGGCACCCTCTTGCTGATCAGACTTCCGGTTTACGGAATTTGTGACTCGAGGCGCGGATTCTGGAAAAGGCTTCACAAGGAAGCTAAGGACTGTGGATTCGACTCATCACGAGTATTCCAAGCTTTCTATTACCTAAATGTCCTCGAAAGGAATCCCGAAGAAATCAAGGAACACAAGCAGGAAGGAGAGGAGGAGCACACAGGGATGAAGACAGTGGCAGTGTTGACCACGCACGTAGACGACCTTCTCTATGCTTACCTACCGGAAGGGAAGCAGTACATGGATCAACTGTTGTCACGTTTCGACGTGGGAACCCAAGAATCCGGTTGTTTCAGATATTGCGGCAAGCAATTCACTACAACTCCAGAAGGAATCTGCATCGATGTCGACGACAATAGTCGTAAGATCAAACCAATTGCAGTGGAACAAGGTCGAGCGAACACAGACCCAGTGAGTCCTGGCGAACTCAGTCAACTTAGGTCAGCGCTATACTCGCTTTCCTGGGTCGCCCTGACATCCTCTACATGGTTTCCAGACTGCAGTCGGAAATCAAAGGAGCGACTATCCAGACAGTGCGCGATGCTAACAAGTGCGTCGAGTTGACCTTGGCTGGAGTGGAGATTGCGAGACTCCGTTTTCCATATCAGCCCATGGAATGGAGCGAGTTGGGAATACTGAGCGTCTCTGACGCGTCCTTCGCCAACGAGGCGGGGATGAAATCACAGCAGGGCAGATGTCATTTCCTTGCATCCGTCTCCGAGCTCAAGGAGAATGGAAGAGAAAAGTTCCGTGTGTGCCCGTTAGCCTTCTCGTCAACAACGGTGAAACGGGTGTGTCGTGCGACTCTCCAAGCAGAGGCGTAAAGTCTCCAGGCCAGTATGGAGGCCGGAGACAGGTACCGAGCTTTGCTGGTAGAGATGAAAGGTCTCATTGGACACAATACACGAGACTGGGAGGACATCGCAAGACGAAATTGCCCGCAGCTCAGTTTGTCGGACTGCATGTCCTTAGTCAAACATTTGAACTCGGATCTGTTGTCCAAGTGTCAGGACAAGCGTCTTGAGATCGAGATGAGATCTATGCGGCAATCACTCCGTGAGGAGGATGACCGCAAGACATATGTGGTGTACCCCAACGGAGGAGATCGACTGAATTGGATCCACACGAGCTCAATGATCTCGGATTGTTTGACAAAGCGCATGAAACCGGATCTCATGTTGCGCATCTTGAAAGAGAATGCGTACCAAGTGTGCTACAGCCAGAAGAAGAAGACTTGAGTCCCGCGAATTCAAGAAATTTTTCCAAAATATCCATTCTTAGACCATTTCACACCTGAAAGTAGGATGTGTGTGAATCTAAGGTCTTTTTACATGAATGGTGTGACCAGGGTGTGAAATAACCCCTGTGACCGGTGGCCCTTTTACGGATCAAGGGCCCTTGAGCTTAGGCTGACAAAAGTTTGTGCTTAGCAGCGCGACTAGTTCGATAGTATATGAGACCTGCCAATGCTGCCGTCAAGGGAAAGAGCTTCCGAGTGATCGGGCATGAGCAGAAGTCTCACGCTTGAGGCATTTAGAGGTGCCCAACGACGGCTCGTGACATTG